GTTTCATATAAGACGGGGAATTTTTTATTCAGCTCTTTTCAAAGAATCTGCTCCATGGAGTTAATTTTTAGATTTTACATACATTAACAGCATCTTTAACGCAGCAGAGTTATTAAAACTGCATATTTCAGATTGTGGTGCATTACATTTTATTATATTTTTTAATTAAGCAAGGATAAGGTATGGCACTAATTACTTTTACGTAACATTAGTTTATTGCAATTTGTAAATGCTGCTTAGTGAAAATAATGCACTGAAACAAAAGACTGCTCAATCATCCGTGGCCTTCTATATTCATTACTATAAAAAACAGCAAATATATTTAACTCTTTAACACTTCGCACCTTCCGTAATTAAGCAAAGGTTAGAAATGACTTTAGTTTTTAATACTACTTTCTTAATTTTTTTAATAAAAACTGTGTTTGATTGAGTACTCTTACTTTAGATTTTTCTGTCATGCTTGACAGTAAATTTTCTGTTTTAAATATTCTAATAAAATTATGTTCAAATACAAATGAGCATGAAAACAGTTAATTGTAGGTGGATGAGATGGGCTGGAAGTCTACCCAGGAAAGAGGACACAGAACTGCATATTTTAGCTTTGTTGATCATCGAAAACAAAATATATCGCTACCCATAACAGAAGTGGACTTCTTTCTAAACGACACATGTCGTAATTAGCATGGAAAATATTAATCGCGTTAATAAAACCATGCGTGAACAAAGACACATAAAGCTTCTCTATAAAGAATCACATCAAATGCAACAACATTTCACACTGTGAATAAAACACTTAAATGCTTCCTACCACCAAGAACACGTAAGGCCTCTTCGATATGAAGTGAGAAAGCGAAAGCTTTTCTCTGGGGATTTAACGGAACATACACAAAGTTGGAAAGTTGTACACTTTGGAATATGCCGACATCCCGAAGGTGTTGCACTGATGTAATCCGAGGTCACTGTTGATTCTCGGATCTTTCTTGCACTAATATGATCTAGGTTATTGTTACGCAAGAATAGGAACCCTTGGATCAAAGTATTCCATCTCAGATTCCATTGTTGCGAAAAGATGAGAAAGGCAGGTGTGGATTAGTGTTCTTCGCTTACGCTAGAACGTGAAAAACATCTAAAACCTACTAAATTAACATTAAATAAAGTGGCAAAAATAGTTACGTAGATGTCATTGTCTTATTATGAATGTACAAACGCATTCTGTCACAGAATAACGTGTCCTCATTGCAGACATATATGTTGTAAATTAATATGGCAAAACGCAGTCCAAAACTTTCACTGCTGTTTGGGTTGCCACCGGATAACATGGTTACAATTTTTGCTCTCTAATGTAGTTTTATGCTATTAACGTAAAAGCCCAAAACTGTAGTAACATTATTATGGAACATTCTGTGTGTTCAATAGCTCGAAATGAGACCAACGACCTCTACAGACGAAATGGTAGTATATCATTTCTTTTGGCTAAGAAATTGCAAATGATAATAATGACTAGTTAATTTAATGTGGATAACTATTTGATAACGTTTTCAAGACCATCATAATTCTTTTTGACAGAATATTTTATATACTCTGATAATAAATATACAATGTCAAACGTCGTGCCTTGACACAGAGTCAAGGCAGTCTGAAGATAAACATTTCACGTTTTTCTTTCAAATTTATACTAATTTAATTTACTCGTAGAATAAAATCCAACAGCAAGTCGAATATTTATTTTATATAAATTTTCCGCCATTTTCCCGTATTTGGTATGTCTAATTCCATTCATAATTACTAATAACATATTTATTATTTACAAATTATTTCCACAAATGTATCCATATTTTGTACTTTTAATTCGTTTAATATAAATTTCAGTAAAATTTTTATTTTCTGCAAATTTTCTACTGTGTCACAGTACAGTGTACCTCTAATTAAATCTGAAATCAAGTTAAATTTTGAACTTTGATACTGCTTTTTGACAAGGCTGGTTGTTTACACATTTGTGGTTTTGCAGCAAACCACATCATTGTACTCGAAAGCGTGACCGTTACATACTCCTCATTCTCGTCATGTCGACGTTCATATCAGTGTCACTACAAAGTTTCAAAATTAGCGTATTATCTCCGAGAAGGGCAGTCCTCATTGAGTAGTAGACAGCCGATCAATTACTAAATAAACTTCCTATCTTGTATGAAACCAGAAGGTCTATCATTCAGTTCACTATAGTCCGCCACTGGGCCCCATGCCAGTTGAATCCAGTTCACACACCTCACACAATTTCTTTCAAGAACCAATCTATTATTATCCTCCCATCTACACCCTATCTCCCACGTGATCTCTTCCCTTTATGATTTCCGACTAAAATTGTGTACGCACTTTTCAACTCCCCCCTGCGTTCTACATGTTTCGCCATTCTCAATCTCCTTGTTTTATCTCTAATAATAATCACTCAGCGACATTCTGTAAAGATTAAAAATTGTAGAACTCCTCACTAAGTAAAATTACTGAATGTCCTGTTACTTTCTTCCTCTGATGATGATGGTGATATGAAAACAGCAACATTCATGTTTCTGGTCGCAAACTGAATTACCCGTTTCAATTTCCGATTTTCTGTGGGGATGTTTACATTATCTAATATGTGATTAAACTGAACATTTGACTCCGTTAGTTTTGTGTATCGACATAAACATCGATACGTAACGAAAACAACACGTTAATATTCAGTACATATTTTAACCAATTTCCAGTCTCCAGTATTCCCATCTCTTCGCATATCACTTTGCTAATTATTTAGCTTTACATGTCTGGACATACTTAAGTGGACGTAGGCTTACAATGTCAAAGGTAGCCTCCAGTTACTGAAGCTAAGTAAGAACCACATGATTGAAACAACATTCATACAGAATACAAACGTGCTACTTGTAGGATGCTAATATACACACCAAAAATATCGTGGTAACGTATGATGATAAAATGATCTACGCATATCAGACCTGCTGTCACTTAACTATGTTTATTAAATACAGACAACCGCTTTCTTTCATATTCTTTCGAATTCATCCAATCGTTCGTTGTTACATTAACCCAGCAATTGAAAACCTCGTTAAATAAACTAAGGGTAAACAAATATCATATGATGGCGTATAACAGGCCGCACATCGCATCACATATCATCAAAATCATGTAAATTGTTACTCAATAATTTAAGATTAAGGCATTACGTTATTAATACATATAAGAGTTAACAGTTATACAGCTATTCAAGAAATTTACTGATACAAACTCCGGACCTTCATGTCCGTTGTCACACAAGCCCGACATGGAAACTATTATACTGTTCACATTTTCACAACCTATTCCAGTTCAATTAATTAGTCAGTAAAGTGACTAGGTATGGACTGGACGACCGGGGTTCGATCTCCGACGGGGCCAGAGGATTTTTCCTCTAGCCTCTGCGTCCAAACCGGCTCTGGGGCCCACCCAGTTTCCTATCCAATGGGTACCGGGATCCTTTCCCGTGAGTAAAGTGTGGCCGGGGCGTGATGCTGACCACTCACCCTCATCTAGTGCCGCGGTCAAGCGCCTACATGGCGCATAATGTGACATCTTTACTTTACTTTTACATTCTATCCATTTCTCTATTTCCCAAATAATCTACATCTTTGAGAAAGTGACTGTCTTCTGGGATGTTGCGCGCCGTGCAGTCTGGTAAAGTTTGTCGACATTGACGATGGAGGCAGCAAGCATATCTGAAACATCGGTAAACTTCTACCAGATTACACGGCGTAGTATCCCAGAAGACAGACGTCATGCTCTCGCTGTGAGAACCTGAAGTCTTTACCTACGTTTCTGAGAGTTTACAACCACAATGTTGATAAGAAGTTTCTGTCAATACTTCGTATGTTATGTAATAATCATGAACATGAAACTTTGTGAATGTTGCCCCGAAACTATTCTCCTGCACGCAAGGATACTCGTTTTATCAGTTTATCCCATTGCACTGTCTGTCTGCGAAGCTTTAATGCTTTGCTCTACTCCACTTTGACAACGATTTCGTAACATTAATAAACAAAGTTCCTGCCTTTTTCCAACGTATTTAATACTGGGCCCCACAACCTTACTGGTCATGAGAGTGAAGGAAGTCGAATTTGAAACTCTGTCGGGAATGAAGTAAACGTTATATATAATATAACATGATCGTGAATATACGCATTACACACTTAACAGGCTCGTTCCACAGAATGAGTTATAAATAACATGTTACCATCAATTTTGTTCAAATGACAAAATTAATGTTACAGCGAGATATCGAGATAGAATACTGACCCATCAATATTTATGCTCCATCATTCAATGTTATTACACACACTAAAAGAAAATTTAACACACAATGTGTTTAAAACAGGCCTAAGCTTCAAAGTTCTACTTAATAGAGCACTAAATTAACAGAATGAACTAATTTTGCTTTCAGCGCAGTCTTATCTCATACAGTACCTCTTTTTATTCTTCCCATCTGAAGAATTTGTTTTCGTGTACAATGACGTATTGTAGTAGCATTATGACGTTCTTGCATAAAGCGGACGTTAAAATTGTCCAATCTAAATGCCAACATTTTTTCGCAAAAGTTCTCCAATTTTAAATTTATTCAGAATCTGTTTATTATTTTTATGCTGTTTCGTGCATTATTTATAGAAAGGTGGATGGAGTTATTTTAATAGGCACTCTTCAGTGTTGCGAACGCACCAAAAAATAAATTCCCTCACTTGGAACAATACGGAATCAAGATGAAGCTAACTTAGCCCTTTTATCGATGCTACCGAGACGTAGGGGCTGAAGAAAGTATTCAATATTCGAAAACTGTTGGCACTATTATCTCACTGGGGATCGAACCAAAGCCATCAAACATGTATCTTTTGAATTTATCAGCTGATCTAATGCGACTTTAAATCTACACAAAAAATATATATCCACCGATACATATCTAGAAAAATTATACTTTGGCTCACCTTAGGATTTCAGAAGATTTAGTCTACTTCGTGACAGCAGAATACAGCCTTTAACAACGTCAGTGATTTCAGTTTCCAAAATGTTTAGCACTGATCACGCTCGAGTTACGATGTCGCTGTTGTAGCCAGACCACATACTTCGCACGAACTGCCAACAATGAACGAAAGCACAAGACCCTAACCTCTAATAATGGTCACGAGGTGCTACTGGCGATACATGCGCACGTCCTGGTGGATCGTGTGGAACTGACATGTTCTCTGCACACGGCAGGCCAGCCTATCAACCAAACTGGTGCTCAGCTGATCGACATCAGCAAAGCACGCGCCCTTTCTTACCAGTCAGCCAGTTCTTACATTTCAATACCTGGCTCTCCCATAGCATTAATCTCATTGGCTCTTGCAGAAATTGACCACCTCTTGTTGGCCGGCAGAACAGGTGTGGGCGGTCACTGGATGCAGAACGTTGTTGTAAATGTTGTTGCAAATTTATATAGAAATGGTCAGAATCATAAATTTTTAATTACAACATATAGCTTCATATATGGAAGTGTGTTGCTAACATTTTTGGCAATATGGGTCAACCTACAACAGAACTTTTTAGCTGCTTAAACACACTGTATCAACTGCAGTAGTTAGACCCCAGCCTATCGTCAAATGGTAATATTATCATAAATGGTGAGTTGGGAAGAATGGAAAAGAAACGGACCATGGCCTATTTTACTGTGTAATTCTAGTATTTTCCTAAAATGGCATGGAAACCATTAAGACATCAAAAGCACGTAACTGACTTGCCGATATTTTAAAACCGACACACCGACTGCCGTTTAATTTAAGACATGTAAGACAGCCTTTCACGGTGACCAGGGAAATCAGGTGAAAAGTTATGAGGAAAATCCCCAAACGTTTGGAAATATACGTATAGCTAACAATTCTGGCGTGTTAGCCAGGATATTACATTTGACATTTGCGAATGTCCAGAGAATTCTCCGGTTGGGGGGGGGGGGGGGGGGG